ATATACGTCCCAAAATTAATACCTATCATTATAAAAGAGACAACTCAAGAAATTGCCGCCGTGAAAAAAGCTCTCGAACAAGTTATTCGTTTATCACCACGTGATTCTATTGTAGCAATCTTCCAGCAATCGTTAAAGGGTTCACCCGAAGTACGGAATCGGACAATTAATTTTTTGTCGAATGATTTGAATCGTTTCAAAGAAGAGTTATTCGAGAAAGGGGAGGATGTTGAAGCATGTTTTGCCAATGAAGTGAAAAGAGTACATATTTTTTATGTATTTTAATGAATCATGAAGCTTTACTTCATTTTACTCATGAACTTGATTTACAGGCACTTCATGATGCTAGTATTTCAGAATTTGAGATATTTATTAAAATGCTTCTACCGCTTAAGATATATCGACTTGAGAATAAAGATAATTTAAAAGAATTGGTTAATGTATTAATCAACTCGATCGTTACAGGAGACGAAAAATTTGATGTATGGATTTTTTTCATTTATTCTTATATGAAAGAAATAAGGTGACAAAGGTTAACACGCTTTTCTTTCGTAGCCTACAGACCATACCAAAGTACAAAAGCTCTTATTGTGTGGGAAAACTCTTATACAATATTTCGAGGTAAAAAAGTAATGTTATAAATTCGTGAAAGCACAAAATTTTTCTAATTGAATTTAAAATGACGGGATAGAAAGGTGTAAAAAGCACCTCATTCCTTGCCTTCCTTGTGAACAAAATCCTACCCAAGGAGATATATTCTAGATTACAGGAACGACACCAGAAAATGATTCTAAGATTTCTAGCAGAATGTATTAGTGGAAAACACAATGAAGCGACGATCAAAAATGCTGCTCCATTAGTAAAAGAGTTATTTATTGTATGTATTACTATGCTTTTACGAAAATTCGAAATCCTGAGAGCTTATTTCATCATATGATTATATGTAGAATGAAATACCACCCCCTGGAGAAGATACTGAAATAGAGCCAAAACTTGATTTGCCGAGAGTCGAATATATTGTTTTTGCTTTATATTGCATTGCTTCTAAGGTATACAATTATATGTGATGGTTTCCATTTTGATATATAAATACCGCTTAAGACAAGTTATATTTAATTAACAAATTTAGATTCCAGAAATAGTTGAAGGACAGGAAATGATTTCACGGTTTGTTATCTTAAAATTTAATATACACAGAGTTGGTCGAAATTTTGTCATACGACGGAGCTTAATACTTTTTCAGGTTCCGGAACCTCTACGCCGTTGCTATAAAATGCATTTCACGTATTAAACAAGGATTGAAGGATTTACAAAAGCGTGGGTCAAAGGATCAAGAGACAATGGAGGTTGATATCACGACTTATCAATAGTCGGCGTAGATCATTTTTTAAAATTTATATTAATTATGATTCAATTTTTAATATTCAAGAAAATCAAGAAGGCGGAAAGTGGCCAAATAGTAACAAATAATATATTAAGCATGATAAAGGTAAACAAAATAAATCGTTAAGTTGACCTAACAACTAATTTATTAATATATTCTTTTTCTGCACCAGGAATTAATGAAGCCCGTAAAAGCCAGGCATTTCACAAAAATCGTGCATTCTTGGAGTACATCGATACCAAATGCTTTAGTTGCTTCCGCATTGACACCAGTAAAACGAACAGTTGATGCTGATTCTTTAGCCGAGGTTCCAACGAATAAAAAGCAAATGGTAGAAAATTTGCGATCACAAATGGTTCAGAAATCCAATTTCTCTCAAAATACAAAATCTTCTCGTGCTGGCCAAATTCCAAGTCGTCAACAGTTTAGTAAAGACATCCCTAGAATTGCCGGTGTGGTTCGTAATAACGGGAGTAACGGTGGCAGTGACAGAAGGTCTAAGATAGATAGAAACAGTGCCCAAAATAGCCAAGCAAATTTATACGTTCCACCACCTAGAAGAGGTAATGTGAAGTTTTTTGCTCATTGATTTTCTTAATTTAGTATTTTGTAAAATTTTTATTTATGTTGTAATAACATACAAGACACGATATGATTGGTAAATTCCTATTGTGGCCTAAAATTGGATAAATTAATTAATAATTGACAAATTAAATCAGGTATCAATATATAATGCCCGGCCTCTATTTTTGTAATCAAATAAATAGCGGGTTCGAAAATTTTGTGCGGTAGAGGCAATACAACATTTGAGAGATTATGGCTAAAAAGATAATGGTTCTAGCTTTCCCTATTCACATGATACATTCTAATATATATATATTTTTAATAGATTAAATCAGAACCAAAAAAACAATAGTCTTCATCAAGAATCGAAATGTGCCTTTGATAGGAATTTTTTTTAAAAAAAAGATTTTATGATTTTTCTAATTAAAATCGTGTAATAATGGTTCGAAGGGTGATTTTCCTAGCAATTGTTCCAAATGGCCTTTGAATAATTCTCCCATGTCGAAGATCCACAATTTCAATTGATGGTGTGGTGAATTCTTTCATCCTCAGCTGGATTTTTATGGTCTGCAGGGTTAGGTGTCGCCTCATATATGGTTATGATCTGATCATTCTTAATCTGTACATGTTTAACAAGGTTTGTGTGTAAGTTGCAAGATCATGCGACTTGTCTTTTAAGAAAATTTATCGATAATTGCTTTTTTTTACTTCATGATGGATATATACATGTATGATCGTAATCTGTGGGATTTTCTTTCTTACTTACCTCAGTCCATTCTCCTTTAAGCCCAATGTAAAAAATCCTCGTTATATCATCGCCAAAGTTTTCAGGAAAATAAAGAGTCAAATTTCTTACATTATACATTTTTGTCATCTTGTATCCAACTTTCTTGCTCAGATAGTAGGGTCAAGGTATTTCTCAAGAAATGTTGCAAAATATCTGATAAGAAGCAAAAAATTCTGAAATTAGTAAGAAATCAGAAAATAAAATTCCCAAAGAAGAAAACATATATAATATTCTTAATAGTTTTCTTACCTGGAAACGCAAAAAATGATGTAAAAATTTAGTTGGTCACTAAAGTAGAAAATTTTAACGTTGTTACTGTATAAAATCACTTTTAAATAAAAATCCTATCGCTATCTTTTGTACAACATAAAATCTGTCATATGACTTTTTTGTAAATTAATTTCAACTGCCGATTGAAGACATTTAATAAAATTCTAGCGTTGTCACATTATAAAGACACCTTTAAATAAGTTTCTTGTTTTTATATAATTAAAAAATATTAAATCTGACGGAAGGAATTAAGAGCGAAGTAAAGACAATTTTTCATAGTAATTTAATATAGCGTGCAGACATAGAATTTACTATATAAAAATTAGTAATTAGAACCCTGGTGTCGTTCGATTTAATCAACCAATCAACGGATTTTTAACCTCCCGAATATTTGAAAATAGCTACTTTCACGCTACAAATAATTCTTAAAATATTCGATACAAGGTGCGATAAACTATAACGATAATGCTGCTAAAGTAGAGATGAATTTGTGTCTTACCTTATTTTTGAAAAATGTAAAAAAATAATATTACAAGATTGTTAAGGAAGTTTCGTCCATTCGACAAAAATTTTATTTTCCCCATTTGTACAAAATGAGCCATTGTCACGATGAGCACGAATCGCATGAACACGATGAGCATAATCATGATGGTCCAGATCGCGGAACTGAAACTTCCTTATACTCCTGTATAGACCGTGACAATGTTCGTTGTTTAAATGAAAGTGCACCAGGTTCAGGAAAGAATGTCATAAAACCTTGGCACGAAAGAAACGATACAACTAAGGCTTGTATTAAATAATGATTGAGGCGAATACTTTCTTTGCAAATTAAAAACAATATTACACATTTACATTGTCAGTTTGTAGAAAGTGACGTCGACGAACAGTTGATTTTGTTCATCCCGTTAGTATATTGTTGATTTTCCTTTCTTTGATCAGATATTCCTAAAAATATTCTTTTTTAATTACACCTGCAATAGTTTCACTGGTAGCGTTAAATTAAAATCAATCTCAATCAAATCTGGTCCTGGAGATAGCTGCCCTTCAAAAATGAAAGCGTATGTTTTTACTTTCTCTATTATACCTATACATGCATGACTGATTTTATTGATCATATTCAGGTATATTAACCGTGAAGATATTGATTTTGACACCGTTGATTCCTATACTGCAACCCAGGAATGGGAATTAATTTCTAGCCCAGATAATATTGAATATATTACAAGGTAATTTATTTTTCATAATATTTTAGTTCAAATATATATATATATATATATAAATAAAATGTATATATTTTGAATGAACCGTTACCATACAAGGA